GGGTGAAACATCAGAAGAGAAATATTCCTGTTTTGAGTATATATTTTGATCAAAATAGGAAAAGCAGCACAAAATGATCATCGAGTGATTTTTAATGACAGTTACTCTTATGTTCTGAAGCAGGACGTAATTATTGGCGAAGCAATTGTGAAACTTTTACGTTGTAAGTAATGGGAATGCGATGGAAAAAACACGAAAATTTTTGTAAATTTTGAGTCTTTTTGCTTTGTATTGCTATCACCTCATAACCAATGACGTTAAAAGGGCACTGGACTCCTGTAGATTGTACAATGCATTACGAACTTTAATTCTAACATAGAGCATACAAACTTCTATATGTCTATCTTAGAAATTGGTACAACAGTTTATTCTCTCAATTATTCGAAAACGGTTAGGACCGCGCTTTTCATCCTCTGTAGTATACAGGAAAAAAAGCAAAATGGAGTAACACGTTGCTCACATAGAGGAAGAAGAAAATTATTGAAGGCACTGAAAATGTTTAAAGGGAGGATAGATATGGAGAACTTTTGATTTCTTCTAAACACTCTAGTTAAGTCAAAGCGACCGTGCAATGAGCTGGAAAGCTTTGAGCTTCTAGTGCGTATATACTTTCTTCCTAAATTTGTTCCAGTTCTGACAAAGTTTCATGCTCTGATGTTTTCCATGATGAGTTTCTACATCCGAAAATTACATCATTTTATTTATTGTTATATGCTTGTTGTTATTAGTGTTAAGATAGTTTATCCTTGTGTATGAGTAAATGCCCAATAATAGTAATTGTATGTGTTAAATACGGCAACCAACCAGTTCTCGGTGCTTTTGAAAACGACAACGATAATTGTTGAAGTAGCTCTGGAGGTAAATCTGCTTCAAAGTACTCGGAAAGAAATTTTTTGAAACCTTCCATATTAATCGTTTGATGACCCTAAATAACACATTAACAGAGTCGCAAAACTCCGAATAAAGAGGTTACCTGCTCATCAAGATCAAGATAGCTGAAAAATTTTCCTTGCGGTTGGAACTCGACAAGCATGTCTTTAAGACGACGACTCGAATCTGTAACGCTGGAGCTTTTTCGGGATTTCATTTTTTCGAAGATGGTTCTTACTGGAAGAGTTTGGGATGATTACTAATAGAGCTTC